TTCAGCCATAAAGAAGGAAATCATCTCATTTAGATGGATCCAAAATAGATGGATCTTGGGACCCTAATGGCAATTGAAATAAGTCAGGTGCATAAAGTTAAATATATGTATACTTTCCCCAGACAAATGCAACTAGTATGTATTGCAAACATAGATTAGTTAACAAAGAAAAAAGAGTGGAAAACACTAGAAACCAGAACTTGAAGGAAAGCGACGGGCTGGGAGGAGTCGTCAGGGCTGTGTGAGGTGCGCAGGCCCACCGAGGGGCCAGCGTGTGTTGAAGAAGTCAGTGACAGTCACCAGACTCCAGCACACACGCTGGGCAGAACAGACTTCGGCGTCGGTGGTGAGGGGATGTAGAAGATTCACGCAGTTGTCGGTGCCTAAGGCACTGCTGAGGGACTGGGTGAGAGAACAATGAGAGGGCGAGGGCAGGAGAGTGAGTGTGGGAAGAGGGCACTGACCCCAGCAGGTGGCCAGACCGGAAGTCGGGGCTTGAGGAAGGGGCGGGGCTCTTCCCCTTTACCGCGCACTCTGAGCTTCACTCCTGAGAGTATTGCAGACCCCAGGTAGCTTTTGTGTGTGTGTGTGTGTGTGGTGGGTAATAGATCACCATGTTAGAAATTAAAACTGAGATGCTGCTAAATATTAATTCAATTCACTGAAATAACAGCAACCACGTTACATATTCCACATATAGATTATGAAAAATGTTTTCCAAAACAACAACAAAAAAAATTTAGCAAGAAGCAAAGTGTAGTTTTCGATGGAAAGTGGAAGGGCAAAGGGAGACCCGGAGGACACACTTGCCTTTTATCACAGACGCGCTCTCCTAGAAGGAGCCCACTGCCTGAATAGCAGCGTCCTTAAAGCTTCCTCCTTGCAACACTGCCACCCTGGAGGTTAGATTGCCGACATGTGAGCTTTGCATGACACATTCAAACCACGAAGGTGTATTTGATCTCACAGGACCACTGGAAGCATCACGGGCCCCTTAGGGTCCCTCCACCACACCTGGACAAGGCGGAAGTGTGTCACTAGCAGGATGAGGGAATCCCGCGATCCCACCCGAGCAGTGGTGAGGGCTGGTGTTGGCTACTGGAACAGGGAGATGCTGC